CAAGCGACATGCATTCATTTTAAAAGCAGTGTAAAAATATATGCTCATACTATGTATAATTAAAATAATCATCTATATAATACAGATCCATCTATATATAGATAGGTACCATCTTCCAAAATCAAATTTTGATTTGAATTTAGGACCATAGTTACAAAGAGAATTTTCAGATAAGAGTAATGACTAATAAGTAAAACAATTACTATTAAGATAAACAATCGATACGATAATATGACTAACAAAATATAAGATTATTTTAGAGCCTTAAGGATAAGTCAAGGTGACTCTTCTCCTGATCCTGGTCAAGACCACTCTCCGGCACACGGCGAGAGGAGAAGTCCCTCGAGCCGCCACTTTCGAGAAATCCTTCGTAGCCACGGCCGTAGAGTTCAAACCGGCCGGAGAACGGGTAAGGCTGGTCGGAATCAACAGTGTTTGAGGATCTAAAAAGTTCTCGACTCTTCTTGGCTAAGGTTCTCTCAAGCTTATGAGCGTTTTGATGACCACCAAGAGCTTGAGAGCTGTAAAACTTTCTTTGACAATAGTTACATGAGTATACCCTAGGCTGCTCCAAACATGATGATGAGTTCGTGGAAGAAGAAGCAGAAGAAGGCTCGAGAACAAGTTCTAGGTTTAGTTGGTGGTTCTTGTAACTTGGTAGGCTTAGACGTAGAGATGTGTTTGGCTGAAAGTCCATACCTTTAATTTTAGAGATAGAGAGAGAAAGAGAGATTAGAGAGATGAGAGAAGTGTGTTTGAAGAATTTGGGCTTGAGGGGCATTATATTTAAGGTGTAAAGATGCGTAGGTTTGCTCAAAACTCATGTTGGGTGCAACTTCGACTGTAAAGTATGGAGAGAGATGAGACATAGAAGCTGAAAGAATCAGTGGGAATCCAAGTGTTGTCGCCTCCATTAATGGCACCCTTTGAACCCTTTGTCGGTCCATCTGATATTATTTTCCTCCGAGTTTTATATATTTCTCAATACACTATTTTATTATATCTAATGGCATCGTTTTAGAGTATTGAACACCTTAAGAATGATGTCCCATGTGCTAGTTGTTAAGACCGGACACAGAAGATATCAGTTTTAATTTGAGCATTGTAGTTAGTTTATGCTTTTTTTCTTATTGAAAGTAGGTTATACCATAGACTTGCTTAAATTACTTTGATTGTATAGAGTTTTCGATATCTGCTAATTCTTTAGAGTTTTCCATTCACACCAAAGTTTTCTAAGCATAACCAAGAAATCTATTTGTCTTCAAAATTTAAATTCATACCAAAAATACTACGAGCTATAAAGACATCATATAAATAGAAAAGTCAGATTCTATGACTTTGGTAAGACATCGTTTAAGATGATGTCATTCTATTAATTATCAACTATACATCTAATAAAATGGTTTAAAGTCATTTGATTATAGAGGAAAAGTAAATTCATTCAAATTAGTTCTATTATAATTTAGGACATGTAACCTAGTAGTTTATACTAGCTAGTGTCAGTTGTTGTGTTACCATTCGGAATCAAGCTCAAACATATTGTTAGTAAAAAAATAATTATATCACAAATTTATATCGGTAATATCATTAGATTAATGATCTATGATTGAAAAAAACTCTCACTATATTTGTCTAAAGTTTTTAAATAGTAATGTTCATAAATGATATTAGGAGTTAAATTTCTTAACTCTGAGTATTAATACTTATCTATATATACATTTTTGGATGACTTTTAGCAAATAAATCCTGGGGTTACAATATATTTACGAAAAATGCCACTGGCGGGTCGGGTCAACTAAGATCCGCGTCCCAATAATCGGATCTTTTATTTTCACTTTTTTGTGCAGTTTTGGCATTAGATCATCAAAGACATAAAAAAAAAAGATAATCAAAATTTACGTTTTCGAATCAAAGAAACTTAGATCGGATAGTTATGATTCATTTGCCTTTTAAAGTTCATATAAAATCAAGATCTATGAAATCCGTCGACAGTATGCCATTTTCGATAAGAAAATCTGGATTTTGAAATCATTATTTCGCCAATTCAAGTTTGAATCGTTAATATTTAGTTGGCTCTATCATGTTTTAACATAAACAACAAGGAAAAATAAGAAAAATGAATGAGAATCGTGGAAATAAAAAAGAGA